AAATATTTACGATTGAAATATGGATTTTTTGCTCAATTTCTATGAACATCATCTGCGGTAAATTAATTATCTCCGGATGTGCTGATCCGATCAGTATTATTTTTTTTTATTACATCATATTGAAGTGAACTTTGTAATGATTGAAAAATTTTTTTTTGTTTTTGCAATTTTCTTAACAATAACAACCCTTAAATATTTACAAAGGTTTTACTCGGCCTTTACCCGAATTGAATCGATTCAAAAAAAAAACATATATTTTCTTATTTTCTCTGCAACAAAATTCTTTTTACAATTTGTTGGAGGTTTTGTTACATCGAAAGATATTAAATATTTTCAAGCGCGAGCCGCGCTTTTCACGTCGTGGACCTCAAAGACTTGTACTCATTTGTCACTTTCGAATGACAATCTTATTGTTTTTCGGTTGAAAAATATTTTATAATTTCGCTTCTGGCGAAAAATGAACATATAGTCGAAAAAAAACATTAGGGGAGAGCGGAGCTTAAAAGTTCGTGGGTAAAAAGATCCACTGCCAAAATTCTCAAAAACAAGTAAAGTTAGAATTTTTTTAACAACAATATTTGAATGTAGATGGATTGTTCAGTTAGATTTTTCTAATAATAAAAAAATGTTTTTCAGCCACTTTTTTTAAATTCGATCGACTTATTTTTAATTTTAATAGAATTTTACGTAATAATAGCTAAATTTTATAGCCAATGTAACATAAAAATTTCATTCGTATATTTTTATAAAGAAAATACCAGATATACCTTTGATCTGATGCTTTGTCAGAAATATTTATCAGCAGAGTTAATTAACTATTAATTTATATATAATTATATATATCAATATATCTATTGTAAAGTAGCTTCTTTCTAACTCAATTTAATTTTTTATTTACTATTTCCTTATTATTTACACCTAGGCCAGTATGAAGGTGTGGTTGACTCTGTTTACCCCACCCACATGTAAGCTTTAATAGAGATTATATCAGAAAGGGTTGAAGTCAACTTAAATATTCCTCTACATTCAAATATTGTTGTTAAAAAATTTCTAACTTTACTTGTTTTTGAGATATTGGCAGTGGATCTTTTTACCCACGAACTTTTAAGCTCGGCTCTCCCCTAATGTTTTTTTTCGACTATATGTTCATTTTTCGCCAGAAGCGAAATTATAAAATATTTTTCAACCGAAAAACAATAAGATTGTCATTCGAAAGTGACAAATGAGTACAAGTCTTTGAGGTCCACGACGTGAAAAGCGCGGCTCGCGCTTGAAAATATTTAATATCTTTCGATGTAACAAAACCTCCAACAAATTGTAAAAAGAATTTTGTTGCAGAGAAAAAAAGAAAATATATGTTTTTTTTTTGGATCGATTTAATTCGGGTAAAGGCCGAGTAAAACCTTTGTAAATATTTAAGGGTTGTTATTGTTAAGAAAATTGCAAAAACAAAAAAAAATTTTTCAATCATTACAAAGTTCACTTCAATATGAGTGTAATAAAAAAAAACAATACTGATCGGATCAGCACATCTGGAGATAATTAATTTACCGCAGATGATGTTCATAGAAATTGAGCAAAAAATCCATATTTCAATCGTAAATATTTACGTCAAAAATTTTTTTTCAGCAAAATCCTGAAATACGTGTCAAATGATTTTATGAATAGTATCTGTAAACAAATTTTCAGACAATTCTAAATTGTCAAGGTTAAAAAGTGTCCGGTTTGTAAAAGAATGACCCATATATGGCATGTATTAGAAGCATCCGATATTTATCAAATAATTTAGTACATTTTATGTATAAAATTCTTCATTAATTCTTATAATACGTCCAAATTGCATATACATTACTTTTTTTAAACTTATGCATGTCGTATTTTACTTTACTTTACTAAATAATTTAAATACAAAAGAATATTTATACTTATTGAAAAAATGATTTAGAAATTTGTTTCATGTGTCAAAAATTTATTTGTTTGGCATTGGATATGAAATATTTAACAAGTTCATGATCTTAGATTGAACCTTGCCATATGAACAAGATTTTATAAATTAATCCACCTAATATTTTAATTAAAGTAATATTGTTTTCTAAATTATTAGTAAGAAAAATGTAATTTATAAACTGTAGTTGCTAAAAAGCAAGTAATATAGGGTACGCGATTATAAAAATTATAGACTACTATATATTATATAAATTATTGAGGCAATTATATTGGTTGAAAATAACAAAGGTGATATTGTTCTTTTACCGAAAATACAATATTTATTCTTCCTGAATTTCTTATACTGATGAAAAACTGCAAATTTTTATATTTGACTTTAAAGAGATTATAAAAAAAAGAATTATGGTACGAACGCGATAAGTGGTTTTGGATTTAGCATATATTTAACATTTCATTTTACCAAAAAATATTTCTAACGTTTTATATTACATACATGTATCTATTGTATCAAATTCTGATAAATGATATCTTATATTTCATTATATTATTAATATATTTTTTTATTTGCATGAATGATTTATCAAAATTGGAATTGGAATTACACTAAATACATCAATTTTTATTAACAGTATGCAATTATTATTTTATATCATTGTTCATTATTTGAGTCATTATTTAGTCATTTATTATATATTAAGAATTTGTACAAAAACAAGTAAAAAAAATTACACGTGCATATCATCTGCCGATCATCAATATAAAAGATTTTTTTTATATTGCAAAAAATAATAAACTTGCCAAATAATTGTGGTATTGAATAATTTTCCATGAATAGATTTATTATTTTGCAGAAAATGCGACGTCTGGCTATTGTGACGTATGATATTTACAATGTCTAACTTTTTTTTTACTTCTATGAATAATATGTAGTACATTAATTCCGCGTAGTGCTTGAGGTATGTATAAGATGAACTATAAAACGCTTTTCATTAAACTATTACGAGTAAGGAAATTTGCAGGTACAGGTACGACATCAGAAGCAAAATTCAGCTATACCTCAACAAAAATTCAGTTATACGTTATAAATTTTATATAACGTACATATATTAGAATCTAAAGCAAAATTTAAGCCTGTAAGCCTTATATTGCTTACGCAATGATTAATCAGAATTTTGACTACAATTCGGAAAGACGTACATACTAGCATTATTCTTTGAATATTCTTCAGTTTTTTGCATTTTGAATCTAGTCTTTTATCTATTTAAGTAATACATGATCACTTGGAAATTTTCAATAACTATTGGAACAGAACGTTCTTTTTATTAATAAGTAATCATTCTATTACAGTACAAAAGCGGAAGAAAGATATATGCCGAGTTTGCGATTCTTAACCTTTTGTTACTCCATTCCGGGCATTATTATAAATAATTATAATGTACGTTATCATTGTACAAAGCCAAGGCCGCGATGAATATTTGCAAGGTTACAAATATCGCGGATGAAATCAATTTTATTTGATGATTTGAGTCAAATTTATTTGACAAGTAATAAATGATAAAAACCAAATAAGGAAATTATGTTGCTACAGGTGTGATGTAAAGAATGCACCTTTGTCCCTCAGAGTTCAAGAACTTTGCATATGATCGGTTATGTTATTGTTGTTAACAATTTCAGAACAACAGACAATTTCGGTTGTCAACCGACAATTATAAAGCAATCATTTTAAATAATAATTCAATCGTAGTAAGTGATTATTATTTTAATTAGTTAATATTTCATTTACATTTAAATATAAAGCTAAAAGTGAAATATAACATAACCGAAGCTTGGTGCTATACAACAAAATTTATTTGCGTTTTGCACAACATTATTATCAAAGCATATATTATATTAAAATGAGTATTATTGTAAAGTATAAGATATAATAAAAATATTAATTTTAACAACATTTTAAAATAATAACCTAACTCCAAAGATTTTATCTTCACAAATTACGAGTTTAATATACTAGAAATATTTATTGAAATATAAATACAGTAGAACTCCAATTATCCGAATTAATGGGAACCGGGACCGATTCGGATAATCAAATATTCGGAGTTTTTTTTTAAATTGCCATTGGAGAGAAAAAAAGTTACATTTTGATATTGCACTATTTTTTTTTATTGAATTAAATGAAAGAAACATGATATTTTCACATGTTTTAAATATAAATAAAATGTACTTATGTACAAGTTTAGAAATGAAAATCATTTTTTTTAAACATCTCCGTCAAATCAAAACAAACAATGTGCCTACACTGGCTTTGCTGGTGGAAGAATAATAGCGCACTTAGACTTTTTTTGGACAATTTTTTTTCTGAAAGTGATTCGGATAATCGGCGATTCGGATGATTGGAGTTCGGATAATTGGAGTTCTACTGTACGTAATTTTATTGATTAAATAAAATTGTAAGTTTCCTTACGAAACCTAATTTCATATTTTGGACACACATTTAAACTATATAGTTTTCGAGAATGTATATTTCAAGCAAGAAATGCTTTAGCTACATAGACAATACATTTATTAATAAAATTAGATAATTTTAATGCAAATGCCAAATATAGCCAAGTAGTTTAATTGAAAGTTCATTAATATTTTATTAATAGTATGTAGTTTTTTTAGTAAATTTATATTACTTTGTCCAAGACTAGACAGAGACTTTTATTCAGATTATTATTTATCAAAATTATCAAATCAGAAAAAATCAATGTAAATTTTGAAATTTGATTGCAAATAAATAAAGATCTTTTAATTTGGTAGTTAAAGATTTGCATGAATATAAAAATGTTGTTTCGAGGTTTGTGTGAAATTTTCCCGGTATATATGCATATTAAATAATTAAATTATTATTTTATAGACAGTTTCCATGGAAACATATTTCCATAGAAATTCTTTACATTTTATTAAACTGTTCATTTAATATTGAATAGGTTTATGACCATAACAAAATTTTATTAAACATGCAAAATTTGATTTTGTTTGCTAAATATATTTAATATTATTATAGTTACCTTTAAAATTATATAGTCTATCCAAGGAATACTTGATAACAGAATTCCCATTGCTAATGTCAAAATTCCTAACATTATCACCATAAGGCGCCCTGAAAAAAAAATTAAATCAATATTAATATTTTACAAAATAAAGTGTCATACCCGTTTGAATCCTATATTCAAAAGATTGTTTTTCATATAAATATCAGTTATTAATTAATAGGACAGAATATAAATCATTAGCTCATCAATATTCATTAGATTTAATACGAATGCGTTATGAATACAAAAATTACAACCGTAAAATGTTAATATAATTAACATTTCACGTTGTTGGACAGGAACCATTGAAATTCACACATTAATATTGAATAGTTATCTATATAGTGCCGAATTGTCACAAAAATTGATGAATTTAAGGAAGTAATATTTGCATACAAAATCAATTTACGCAAGGTTACATTTTAGATTTTTTAGATTTATAATTTTACCCCAGTTTTATAAGCGTTAATTAATTTGAAAAAAAAACATAAATAATAGAAACAGAAAAACATAAAAAAAAAATGTTAATAAAAAATCATATGGTTTTTTGATTATATTAACTAAAGGAAAGTTAGACCATCAATGTTTATATAAATAATAATATTTATGATGATTGATTATGGAGCTATTTTCATGTATGAATTATATTGCTTTTAATCTTTAGATTTTGCATTTTTTAAAACTATTTATTACAGTAATCAAAAATGCTTCTTATGCCATAGCATTTCAGTATTTGCATATTAACAAAAAGCTGCATTGACATTAAACTGCAAATGTGGATTTAATAAGTTATTACAATGTTTCTATATACAGGGTGCACCAAAAGTGCTTTTACTTTTCATCAGCAATGTCTTCGAAAAATTTTCTGCAATTTACAGCAGTATCAAAATAATTAAAGGTGGACACACATATTGATGATGTAAATTTAAAAACATAAAAATAATTATAAATAGATAAGCGAATTAGTTTTATTTAAATAATTATTATTATAAACTAAAAAGAAACATCGTAACAAGTATGGTCTATTACGAAGCATCTTTACGTATGGATTATTTCAAAATTTTCAAATTACATAAATATCTGTATTTTTCATTTTGACTTTTTATCCGTCTCTGTAGGTTTAGTCACAAGCTAAAAAATAGCAATCTAGAAGTTAGACATAAAATTGTTGATTATTCTAGTAAACTTGAATAACACAAAAAATGTCAAAAAAATGATTGATCTATATATTGCTTTAATATCAATATTTGTTAACAAAAAGTGTAATAGTATAAGACATAAAAGTAAGAATATTTAAATTAATTTCATAGGACGTGAAATTGTATTTTTACTAAGCCTGATGACACTCATGCCAATTTTATTTTGTTATTTTTCAAAATGCTAATCAAATAAAAAAATAATATTTTTGTATAGATCATTTGTGATAAAAAATGTAGAATATGCAATCACAGCAAATATAGAGACATCGTACCTAATTAAAATATTGTTCGAAGAAAATCATATTAAACCCAATAAATCTGCGCAAATTCAAGTTTACTAGAAACATCATCCTCACTGTAACAAGCATAAAAAATGAATAAATAAATAAATAAATAATGTTCATGCGATCTGGTAACATATCTAAAGGACGCAAAAAATATTAATAAATTGAAATTATGCATATTTACATAACAGATGTGTAAATTTATACAAAAGCTTATCGTAGAATCCAGATCAATTTATCATCACTCTGCTTAATTATAATTATACGTTCTAAATTTTTTTATCCATTTGCGTCAGGAGTTGATTCATGTAGAACAAGTGAAGATAAAATACAAAAACCAGTTGCGATATGAATAAATTAATGAAAATAAATCACACATTATTAAAAAATATCACAACTGGTAAAAAATTGCGTTAGGAATCCAGAAAATCTAGTTCCATATGACAAGAAGAGAATTTGATCTTTGGTGGGTTTTACTTCCTTACTTAATAGTAGTAAGGTTATGGTTCTAAAAGCAAATGTATAAGATTATATTTAAAAATTAATATTTATGTGTATTAATAACCTTGTATCATACATAATTTGTAATTCCATGAAATAATCACAAATTGTTAAATATTTGGTTATTTTTTGGCTATAAATAGATTGTTATAAATTAAACAATATATTTCAGTAAAACAAAATAATCTAGAATACATATATTGTCAAGAAGTATATAATAATATAATAATATATATATAATAATAATTAAATTAAACAACATAAAAAACTCAGTTTCATATTCTGTTTCTAAAATTATAGTCTATATTTCAAGAATTATAATAAATTATAATTAAAGTTTTAAGTAAAATAAATAGATAAAAATAAAATAGCTGAAAAAATTCAATAATTTATTTAAAAATCAAATTAAATTGACTAGAGTACTATTTTTCTATGCTTTGAACTATATAAATTAGCAAAATCATATTGAACTACATTTTCAAAATATAGGTATGATATCTATCTCTATTTAACTTATGCAATACGTTTATTTTCCAATAGTTAAGAACAAATTTTCATTGAGTTTGTTTCATTTTATGGCCGTAATTATTTTTAAAAGAAGTAATACGCATTTTTTTCAATGAAGTTATCAGTTTATAACTTGTCCAGAAAATAGCAGAGTTCACGATCAGATTTTATGATCTTGATTTTTATATCCGTATTTTATACCAAATTAAATAAATTAATAAATTAATGTCGTTTCAGATTAAATAATTTTTTCGTGACGTAGGTCTTGCTTTTGAAAAACGTCACCAGAACTGGTTCTGACGCAGTTTGACCCTACTCAAAATTTTACACATCTATTTTTAGTGACCCAAAAAGCGTTTTTTTGAAGACTTGTAATGGTAACCATGGTCGTAGATAGACTTTTAACGAAGGGGTCAGGATCATACAATTTTTATTGTTATAATGTCTAACCATACTAAAGTTAATATATAAAGTCGGTAAGTGTCTTAGGAATTTTATGCCCAGTTTAAAAAGTTTATACAAAGTCTGTCATTATTTTGTAGGAATTCTCCACAACCTTTGTTATTAATTATAATTTATATTTTATTATGAACTTGAACTTAATTTAATCTTTATTGTAATAATAAATCGTAAATTGAAAATAGTAAAAATATATAATATATAACGCAAAAGTGATACAGTTGCTACATTTTTGAAATGTTATGTGAAAATTTATAGATTATCAAATATTTATTCTGTAATTACAAGTGGGATCTTTATGCAATTAATAATTCTGAGAATACTTCTGATTTTTAACATGTAACAAAATGAACTCTGTGCTTCAAATGAGTTGAAAAATGATATCAAAAAATATGTTATAATATAAAAAGTATATACAAAATTTACTTATTTTAAACTCGATTAAAATCACGTAGGGTAGATCAGGGCTTAAAGATTGGCGGGTAAAAAGGTCCACCACCAATACCTCAGAAGACCCAACTAAACCTTTTACCCTGGCCAAGGTGTAAAAAATAAAAATTAAAAAAAAAATAAATTAGGTTAAAAAAGCCATTTTACAAGAGATAAATCAAATAAATAGTTATTCCAACTTTGCTGATTAATATTTCTGACGAACTACCAGATCAAGTTTTCTTACAGTGTTTCTCATTATCAGTGTCTCTGTAAAAATGCACCCATAAAATTTATATTTTGCATTGATTGAATAATGGAGCTATTATTTTGATAATCTATTTAAAATTAAAAGTTAAACATTGGCCGTCCCATTTTAAGCCGCCTATGGGTTAAAAAGGACCAGGTTACAAATTTTTGAAAAACAGCATAAATACACATCACTAAAAGGGTGAATTAGCAGGGAGTTTTACTAAACATAGTCAGATAATTGTTTGTTTGATATATACATAATTGGTTTGGTGTTCACAATATAATTGTTCAAAGTCAAATTGGACCTTTGTGCCTAGCCCTTTTGTAGTTGAATATAATATTTTTATTCTTTAATGATTCTAAGAAATTATGCAATATAAAATATATAAAAATTTGGCTTGAAATCAATTATAAAAACGAGTTCCATAATTCAATCTAAAATCATTTATAATTGTTTAAATCCTTATTTAATTCTGTTAACAAATTTCAATTAAGATATTAAAATTTAGATTTTCTGTGAAATGAGGTGAAACAACAGCTACGCCTATGATGGTGACTACAGTTTTTCAACCTCTTACGTATTTATAACACCTGATTTGGCTTGAACACAACTCGAAGGTAATTAAGAAAGTCTGCAGATTAAATATACATATTTTTTTATTTTTATGACTTGACGACGCAAACAACGTGTGAAATTAGGCAAATAGTTTCCCGGGGGTCCAAGTGACGTCAATATGATCTTGCGGTTTCTTATTGATTGTGATTGTGAGGTCTGAAAATCATTTACGCTAAAATACATAAACAACCGCTTTTAAATTGAAACAATATTTTTGCAGTTTGTTTTGATGATAAATCTTTGTTAGGGATTTTCCAAAATATTTGACATCGATTAATATATGGTTGAGAAAAATAATATATTTGTTTCATTATGTTTTCGATAAAAACATCATTGTCTGTTGATTCATTGATTAATATAAAATCAATGAATAGTAGATGTTCGCGTAGCAGATCATTATCTTGAAGAAAGTTTGCATTGATTAGATTTATTCCAAATAAATTAAAACCTACACACTAATTTTTTTGAACATATTTTTATAAACCTATATTGCATACACAACATATACCTTATAATACATATGTATTATAAGGTCTGTGATGCACACTTATACAAATCTGTGAGTAAAATAAATTTTGATCTTAACTTGGTTTGATGAATACTTGACTTGTAAAAACATAAATTAATATATTATTCAAAAATTATAATTAAAATGAGAATAAAATCATTAAAAATCTTATTATTGTTAAATTTTTTTAATACAATAGTAGTTATTAATAGGAAAAAGTTCACGGTTTATCAAGGACTATGGACCACCATAACTTTCAGGTCACATTCCCAATTTTTCGACATTTTACCCAATAATTATGGTTTTTCAGGAG